TTGACCGACTGACTTATCCGCATCTGTCTGTCCAGCGACAAGGGAGATTTGTCCCATTGAGAAAGGATTTCCTGCTGCAGAATCCAAGTGTGGTGCATATAGGACTGCCTCAAATGAGGAAACTGTCAGACCAAAGACCCACATGCAAGTGTGTGTCGACGCCTGATTGCACGAACACAATAAACTTGTGCTCAATGGGCTAAGGCCAGGCCAAAGGGAAGGGCCACAAACTGGAAATATTCCTTCCCACCACAAACTGCAGAAAGCGCTAAAGCACCGGACACATTGGGACATGCAGGTATGAATCCTTAAAAGAGAACTATGGGGTCCAACCTTTTCTTTACTTTTGGATTCCATGGGCTATAGGAGTAAATTTAGCAATTTATTCCTATAATCCAAAATGCATCCTAAACATACAATCGTTACTTTAAGATTGTGGGCGTGGCTAAGCGCAGCAGTGGGGAGAGATCACGACAATACTGTCAGGATCCTCCCAACTGATCGTTCTCACTGTGACTGACGGCGCTCCTTGAGAACTGCTGCGCGTCCACAAATACATGGGCATGCACAGCAGCTCTCTCCCTACCTCCAGGTCCCCGTCGTCTGTGCCATCAAATGGCAACACGTGCATGGAAGGCTGTTTCTGCTCACTGCCTCCGCCCCTCCTTCCTCTCTACCCTCCTTGAAACCTTTTCCCCGTAAATCTTAGTTCCCCCTGCCATTCAGCTATTACCATATCCCCGCCCCTTCCTTACAGCTGATTAGTATTTACATATCCCCTCTCCACACACTGCACAGGAAATCTCTGACTTGTTTCTCCAAGAGCTCACACTGTGAGAGGAGACGTTCGTCTCTTTGTCATAGAACACCGGAGCTTGCAGAGAGGGGGCGGGGCTATGTAAATACTAACAGCTGTAAGGAAGGGGCGGGGTTATGGTAACAGCTGAACGGCAGTGGGAACTAAGATTTACGGGGAACAGGTTTCCATACACCTGCTGCAAGCATCTGATTACTGAGACAGAGCAGGAGAAGATCGGTGAAGAGAAAGGGAAATAGTGGTAAGAGAGGGAAAGAGAGGCTGAGTCAGCTTGTTGCTTCTCAGTTGAGACTCTGCCTCCTGCTCCCACATGTCCGCGTGCACACTCCAGCCGAACACAGTGTGCTTGACTAGAGAAAGGGCGTCTTGGTGTATCTCCATAATGGGTTCCGCTCCAAAAATGCTTTTTTAAATCGTTTGCCAGTTGTTTTTCCATTATGCCAGATATCCATTATATTATTTAGAAGCATAGTAGAAAACAGCAGAGAAATAAGCTCCCAAGTATGACTCACAATTTCAGGATTTGTTCTTTACAGATAAGCCAACTGTGCCTATGTCCATATTTTATTACTTTGTGTTTCACATGTTAACACTTTTAGAGATTATGGTTACCTTGGCATAATAGGTGTTTCTTGTCTCTAGCATTATGTTGTTTAGCAGCCCTTGCCCCAGCGGTAGTTCAATTAGGAGGTGGGGTTAGTTGTCAGCCATGTTTTAGATGCATGCATGGTGTCAATGCCACAAAAGTGACTCGCAGCATTATCATACAGGCCTTTCATGTGGACAGTGGTTCTCTCAGTCTGTCTTGCTGCTACAATTCTTAAGCAAGAAGGTTTCAGCTTGGGCTTTGTCTGTTCACCCCTCATACGCTGGCAAGTTTGAATGTTCCAGGCAGATATAAAAGACAAATGAATGCAGCTTTGTGTTATTATTGTTAATAAAATCATTAAATATATTGTTAATGATGCTAATTTAAAAGAGAACTATGGGGTAACCTTTTTATGCCATAGTTCTTTTAAGGGTCAGGGGGAGGATGTCCCGCTCTAGCTTGCTATATAACGAGAGTGCGGCAGCCGGGACGGATCCCTGCCTATCTAGAGGCAGAGCCAGCAGTGCCCGCGCCCTCCTCCAATCACCGCTGCAGGATCGCAGAGCTCTCTCTCTCTCTCTCTCTCTCTCTCTCTCTCTATATATATATATATATATACATACATACATACATACACACACACACATTTAGAAAGGGGAAAAAAATAAAAACTTCCCTACGTTATGAAACATTACCTAATTTTTTGGTAAAATATAAAAGGTGGGGTCACGTCAGGTAAATAGACACCAAAAATGTCAAGCTTTAAAATTGCGTGCTCCCCCAAAAAATAACCATACCCAAAATTGGCCATAGGCTTTTACTGGTCATCAGTTTAGTGGTTGATGGCCATAGAATTATTGCTCACACACCTACGCTCGGTGATATGTAACAAGTTTGTATGCCATGGCAAATATACAGTGACAGGTCCTCTTTATGAAGACCTTGGCGGTCCGTTAGACCCCTGTCACCTAGGGACCCCCAAAGAAGCTGATGAAGCAGAGATCTGCTTTATAGAAGCCGGAGAGATGACAGGCATAAGTAATGCAATACACATCACTTCCACATTCAGAGATGGGAGGTCAGGAGGAGGATATACACTGACCTCCCTCCGATCTCTGTTCAGAGAGACGCCATGACGGTCTCAGACTAGGGACAGCAGAGTCCAGGATAGACGGCGGCAGCGGAGCTACAAACTTGAGCACAACATATAAGCGATCAGGCGGCTCTATAGCCACCCGGACGCTTTTATGTAAACAGCCATAGCGGGCTGTTTAAAATGGTGTCAGTTTCCCGCACGTGCACACCCACCTGCATTCAAGAGTGTCCCATCCGGCCTTTTAATTACAACGGCTGGACAAGAAGGGGTTAATAAATGAAAATATATAATTTCCAAAACTGCAGCTTTCATTAAAAGGTCCTAATGGCACTTTCTGCTTTACAGTGACAACGCTATGCCTGATTCCAAGTGTTCTCCTGTATTGTCACACGCTCTCCTGCCTAGAGACCACAGGCTGCCACGCCGATGCACATTCCACAGGCATGTCCCACTGTTGTTGGCGCCAGAAAACCTGTCCTAAGAAATGACATGCAACAGTTGATAGAGCAAGTGACTGCAGAGGATTTAAAAAGGAACTTCTTGTTTGATACACAGTGCTTTAGCAAATTTAGTGTCATTAAGTTGATAAAGCACATTATGGATGTTACTATTGGAGCTTGGTATTCGCTGCTTTCGTTAAAATTCAAAGATTTGGGTGTAGAATTTGTTGGCTCCACCCCATTCCCTCCCAAACCATTGTTTTGTATTTTGATTCACTTCCTCTCACATTCCAAAAATATAAATAGCAGGCTACTGATCTTTTACCTAAAGATTCAATAAGGTTTGTGCCAATAAGACAGTGGTAAAGGAATTAGACCTTCAGGGGCAAGGTCTGATAAGAATTGTTCTGCGTACTCTGACAAGCACTGTGGAATTTTACAACTCCTATAAAATAATTAAAGTAGCTGTAATCCATCATTTTATAACATCAAGTTTGCAGAAGAACCATTTTAAAACAATTGCTATTCTTCTTTCCTAAAATACTGTTTTCACCATTTTCATCCTTTTAAAAAAGATATAATATATATATATATATATATATATATATATATATATATATATATATATATATATATATATATATATATATATATATATATATATATATATATATATATATATATATATATATATATATATATATATATATATATATATATATCAGTGCTGCTGATCTCCTGCAGCCTCTTTACGGCCACTCGTGTTTGCATGCAGAATCAGAATCCTGATGGGGACAATGGTGGACAAAGCCTGTGCAATGAGCACCAGCACGGCCACTTATTGTAACCAGTGAAAGTTCGTATTACAGACAGACCTCACAGGGGAGCAATAGGTCAGACCATGGTCATCCCATAACAAAAGTACCTGAACAAGGAACTTAATGGCAGGATTACCAGACATTTGGATTGAAAATTACATTAAAAAGTATTAAAGATTATGTATGAATTAATGAGCTTACTAGGGCCGCAACAACTAAAAATCGAGAGAATCGTTGGCAACTATTCTCATTGATTAGTTGATTTTTCAATTAGTTGCCACTGCTCTGCTCCCTGCTGGCTGCAGCGGTCTGTATCCCCTTCAATCCCAACCTGTATCAGCAGAGGGGACAGACCACTGCAGCCAGCAACAGCAGGGAGAAGAGACTACGGTGACTCTGCTTTTCCCCGCTGCCCCCCCTCAGTTCCTCCTCCGCTGCCCGCTACTGGATATTTTAAATTGCAATAGCAGGCTGGCTTTTGCATCCGCCCACTGCTATTGTAAATATCCAATAACAGGCTGGCTATTTAAAATATAAAACTAAATAAATTTAAAAAT